GTGGCCCTGCAGCAGAAAGCAGGAATAAAACTGTACATTCAGCTGAATGGCCCTTCAGATGACTTCTCTGTGAGTCTGTGGGTCTCAAGGGCCCCACCAGTAAAGACTGTACCTAAACATAATGCAGCAAAACAATCAAAAACAAAGATATTTGTTGTAGCAATACTACTACTTGGCAAAATATCTAGTACTGTTGAAGTATTTGCTTATTTCCCTTTCATCTGTGCCACATTTGTATGGAAAACACAAATATTCATAGTGTTTACGAGACGAGCTATTCAATAGATATTTTATAAATGGGGTTGTTATACCACAGTAGCTGTGTGTAAAAGTGGAAGATACTTTTCCAAAGATCACAGAAACCCCACAGAGTCACATCCACCTCTGTCGATAGTCTGAAGCTAACGTGTCCAGTTTGACATGTCTCCTGAGAGTTAAAACAATAATATGACCGTGATATGAAAACATCCAAATTAACTCCTGTGTTTGCTCGTTATAAATCTGATCTGGGTTAAACAACCCAAATAAATAATCTAAACAGAACATTTAAATATAACCTACTCATGTCCCTAAAAGGTGACGTTTGTGTGAGGACCACCAGGACCCCGAGCTGCAGGATCTGTTTATGTTGGGCTGTACGTGTGCTGACTGCAGCAGGCCGGGCTCATGAATCCACTTCAAACTGTTAGTCTGACCTGGCTTCTTACTGACATGTTCCAGCTGCTTACAGGAAATGTTTCTGTTCTACAAAATAAAAAACGGAGAGTTGGGTAAATATTGTAGGTCATTACTTCAAGTTGTCTCGGGTGTTTTTCCAGCAAATAAAAAAAGAAAAAGAAAAGTTTACTATTTGTAAATGTGATGGACAGGAGACCTGTCCAGGGTGTCCCCCGCCTCTCACACAATGACTGCTGGAGATGGACACCAGTGACACCAGTGACACCAGTGACACGAAAAGGAAGAATCGGGTGAAGATGATGGATGGATGGATGGCTTGATGGATAAATGGATGGAATGAAAGAAGGAAGTATGGCTAGATTGGATAATGGATGGATTGATTAGATGGATGGATGGATGTAATGAAAGAAGCAAGTATGGATGGATGGATGATTGGAATGGATGGATGGAATGAAAGAAGAAAGTATGGATGGGATGGGTGGATGGATTGGATGGATGATGAATAAATTGGATGGATTGGATTGGATGGATAATTGGAATGGATAGATGGATGGATCAGAGTCAGAGTCAGTCAGAGTCAGAGTTTCTTTATTGTCATTCGCACCTCATGTGGTACATGTGGTGGAGCGAAATTATGTACACAGGGTCCCAGTTACATCCAACAATAAAATGTATAAGAAAAACAGTAATAACATCTAAGATATGAATTAAGAAAAACACCAACTAAATATACACTAAGCACTCATAACATAAAACATTGAACATCAGCACAAACATGAACATGAGTCTGTGAGCAGATGTGCACGCATGAACACATCAACATTGAAACAGATCAGCAGCAACATGAAACAGATCAGCAGCAACATGATATGGTTTTTCACAGTGATTATTCTAGTTAGAGATTCATGAGTCTAACAGCCTCAGGGTAGAAGCTGTTCCTCAGTCTAGTGGTTCTACACTTAATGCTCCTCAACCTCCTTCCTGAGGGGAGTGGGGCAAAAAGTGTGTGTGCTGGGTGGGTGGGGTCCTTCATGATGCAGGTGGCCCTCTTCCTGCATCTGGAGGTGTAGATGTCTGTGATGGTGGGGAGGCTGATTCCAACAGATTTCTGTGCAGCCTTCACCACTCTCTGCAAAGCTTTTCTTTCTGCAGTATGTAATGAAAGAAAGAAGTATGGATAGATTGGATGGATGGATTGAAAGAAGGAAGTATGGATGGGATGGGTGGATGCATTGGATGGATGATGGATAGTTTGGATGGATGGATGATTGGATGGATGGATGGAATAAAAGAAGGAAGTAATGGATGGATGGATGGATGGAATAAAAGAAGGAAGTAATGGATGGATGGAATAAAAGAAGGAAGTAATGGATGGATGGAATAAAAGAAGGAAGTAATGGATGGATGGATAATTGGATGGATGGATTGGATGGATGGATGGAATAAAAGAAGGAAGTAATGGATGGATGG